TGCCTCATCTGTCAGCTGCCAGCAGCCTCTTGGAGCCCAGGTCTCCTTTTCTGCAAGCAGTGAGCCAGGGACAGGATTTCGTGTTGAGTGTTAGGGACCATCCCGTTCTAGAGCATGGCCCGTGTCACTAGCCACCACCTGAACAGGAGCTGCACGCCCAAGCCCCAGTGCCTCCTCTTGTCTGTGCTTCCCTCCACGTGGACACTTATGCCTCTTGCCTTTTCTCATGTCTTTGTGACTAAAAACCCTTCTCTTAGGAGATCTTTTCCATTCTGCAAAGTAACACCCGTGCTGCCTCTTCCGTGAGTCCCTGCAGGAAGAGGCGATCTGTCCCTTGGCCATGCTCCGGTGAGACAAGGTCAGCCCTCTTCTGAGGTCTTCATATACCCACAGGCCACCACCCTACATTTTGGCTTTTGAACACAACCACCACAGACATGTTTACATTATGATCCAGTAACAGGTTGAGTAGACTTTTCAGGACCTTTGTATAAAATTCGCTTTGAGGTGCAGCCTGAAGCTTAAGCAGCCCTTTCTTTTCTTTTTTTTTTTTAAATAGCTAATGGCTAATTCATTCAGGTGGTTCGAAAACCCAAAATCATACAAGGATATACTGTGAGAAGTTTCTCTCCCACCCTTGCCCTATCCTGTCCATCCCTCCCTATGGGCAGTCACCATGATTAGTTTCTTGTGTGTGCTCCCAGAGATATTTTACAGACACACAAGCCAATGCAAGTGTATCAATATACTTCTGCACCTGTCTTTTTTTCCCTGTAAAGATAGGTATCTTTGAGCTCTTTCTGTATCAGCGAAGAACTGTTGAATCCTTCGTAAGACCTGTATGATATTCATTTGTAATTGATGATACCTTAATTTATTTAACCGGTCCTTTATCGGTGGACAATTAGGTTGTTTCCAACTCCAGACTGTTGTATCCTCCTGGATTTGATAATCTTGTACATGTATTATTTCCCCTGTGTGCAAGGTGGGTAAATCTCTGTAAGTGGAATTCTGGTGTCAAAGGCAACCAGCTTCCAATGAGGTGGGATCTGTTTCGTGCTTTCACCATCGGTATATGACCCCACCCTTATCAGCCCAGTGTGTTATCACATATTTGTATCTTAAAGAGGCTTTGGGATGCACCTCCTTCATAATTTGGGAGCTGACTGAATTTCCAGCGAGTGTGATTATTAAGAGACAGGACCTTAAACTCTGGAGCCTGGCGACTTGGCTTAGTGCCTTCATAGCCACGTAGCCTTGGCAGAGGGGACTCAAGACTCATTGTCTGGACCTCAGTGCATCATTTATAAAATGGGGATATTAACAGTAGCAGCCTGATGGTTCTTGTGGGTGAGCTGGTACATATCCAAGGTTGGCACAGTGCCCAGAACATAGAGATGCTCTCAGTAATATTTAGTGTTGATGGTTCCCGGGAGCGTGCACATACCCTCCCCGGGACCAGCTCTTTTGTTAACAGCTAAGAAACTGTGCCCATTAGATTTCTGCATTAGCAATGACAGAGAAGGTGCGGAAAGAATAGTCAGGCCAGGAAGGGAAAGGGACATTGATGTATGTTGGCTGATAAGCCAGGGAGCCCAGGATATCCAAAAAGGAGGGGAGGAAGCAGCCAGTGTAAGAAATCCTCATTATTAGATCAAGCATGGTTGCCCCTGAGCTGAAAAAGAAAGATAAGATAAAGGGATGGGATTAGAGCTCTGTTTCTCCAACATTACATTGCAAATAGCAGCTCACCTAAAGTTAAAAAGACATTTTTGTCCAAAATTCCTTAAAAAAAAAAAAACAAACTTCCAATGTATGGGAGCTCAGAGCACTGGTACATAGTAGAAATTCAATACAAATTGTTTGCAAAGCTCTAGAAGCCTACATCCCTGTCACACAATAAACACTATGTAAATATTTATAGAAAGAAAAATGTATCTTCTCTTCCGCTCCAGGCTCACTGCCTGCAGCTTATCTAACCTTCACTCACCAAGCCTTTTCTTCCTTTTTTTCTATTTTTTGTCCCTTCCTTCCCACCTTTGTGTCTGTGACTCTGATGTAAAACCCAGCTTCTACCAGTCTGAGCTGGCCTATGGCGAAGGGCCTGCAGTGCCTGTGGCCGTGGCTGTGGCCGTGGCCTGCAGGGACTGAGGGCAGAGCGTTCTTCCCCTGAGCCTTCCGGGTGCAAATGTTTCCTCTCCCTTCTCTCCCCAGCGCAGCCAGGCGCTGTTCAAGTGAAGGGCGATTGTGAGTGATCCGGTCAGCAGGGCAGGGAACTGTTCTCTGGCTGCATCCTCGTGGCATTTTTCCTTTTCTGCCTGATTTGAAGTGCCCTGCCCCTGTTTCTGGCCTCGCGTAAGCCTGGCTCCACCAGCTGACCACGGGCAGCCCTCACTTGCCCCTGAGTTGGCGGTGGACATGCTGTATCTTTCCCTGGCAGCTGTGCTCCTGGCCGTGTGTGCCGTGGACACCACTCCGGTGGGCAGCTGTCCCTCGGGGCTGCCTCCCACCTCCTGGGGGCCCGGTGCCCTGGCGGCTCCTGCAGGCCACCATCTGCCACGCTGTGCCCAGAGGTGCAGGAAGGCAACGCCAGCTACCCCTGAGTGGCAGGGGCCCCAGGCTGTCGTGCACTTACGGAGGGAGGGAGTCCTGCCATTGGGATCCAAGGCTTTGGAGTTGTGACATTTGCTACTGCCCCCAGACCCAAATTAGCGTCAAAGCCGAGAGAACATCCGGACCCACCAGCCTGGCTTCTTAGGCGCATCTCCATTAGTAACAGTGTTTCCATGCGATCCTAACCTCAAGTGGGAAGCAGAACCAGGGGGTGCCTCTGTGTGGCCACAGCAGCAGCACTTTGGGGAGGTTTGAACCAGGTCCTTACTTGGGACAAAAGGGAGAGATGCTGAGTGTGAGGTCCTAGGTGGCAGCTTCAAGGTCGGCTCACTTGAGGTGCAAACCCTCTTGTGCTGCGTGGACCACCTTCCCACGCACGAAGCCAGGGCGGGGTGGTCCTCTCCAGCTTATCATCGGTCCCTGCCTTGTCCAGTCTGGGTGCAAGCCACTTCCCAAATGGAGCCTGTTGGTGCCTTGCCACTGGGTGCCAGAGCACGGTTCTTTCCACCTGCCACGGGGAAATGAACTCAAAATTTTTATGCGTACAGCCTCCAGCTGCTACAAAGCAAATGTGGCTGGCTCTCTTCAAGCCACCATCCAACTCAGCTCTTGGATATTTATTTATTTATTTGCTCCTCTGCCAGTGGGGAGGAGAGCCCGATGGGAGAGGTCTCAGCAGAGCATTTCAGGAATTCCCGCAGTGGGAAAGGTTTTTAACTTCTTCATGTCAGCTGATGGGACCGAAGAGTCAGAGGATTTATTTTTAAGAGATGAAGAGTTTCTCATCTGTAAGATGAGAACCCAGAGCCCCACACCTCCTGGCTTAGCACTTCTCATTGTGTTAAGTTTCGTGTGCAGGGAGGGTGTGTGCATTTTCTATGCTGGTAACACACTACCAGAAACTTAGTGGCTTACAACACCACCTAAGTTATTGTCCCACAGTTTCTGTCAGTTGGGAGCCCAGGCAGGGCTTAGCTCCAGGGTCTCATCAGGCTGGGAGACAGATGCCAGGGGGCTTTGCTCTCATCAGAGGCTCAACCGGGGTGGGGGGGATCTACTTCCGGTTCCCTCAGGTTGTTGGCAGAATTCATCTCCACGGGCCCTCCCTCAGCACAGTGGCTTACTTTTTCAAAGCCAGTGAAAGGCACCTTTCTCCAGTCTGCTAAGGTGGACTCTTTTACCATGTAACCTAACCACGGGGTGACATCCCATCACCTTTGCCACATTCTGTAGTTTAGAAGCAAGTCCCAGGTTGTGCCCACACAGGTGTTAGTACCAGGAGGCACATCATGGGGGTTACCTTGGGGTGCCACCTACCACAGGGAGAGGACACAAACTTTATCAGGAAGTGTTCCAAAAGTATTTCTAAGACCCAGCCAGTTGTAGATGATCACACTGTTTTTTGTTTGAAAAGAATCAGTTTTGTTCTTTTCCTTCTATCTCAGAATGTCTCCAAGACCTGAAAGCCTCGACAGCCCAGTTTTCTGTGCCACACCTCGATCCCAGCTTCGGCTCTGTCATGAGCTGACTGTATGTTCTTGACAAAGGGTGATTTATTTTGTGACTCCTGAATCCCTATTTTCTCATTTGTGTGACTGGATTTTGCTAAGATTTTGTTGGCCACTGGCACATAATAGCCGCTGTCACTTAGTAAATGGTATTTCCAACCCCTTTCCTTATAGGACTATTTGCTGCATTGCATGAGTTTTATTTAGATACAGAACTCAGCAACAAAATATTATCAAACAAAAGGGAAAACATTTTAAAGCAAATCTACTTTGTATCTAAGGAGCTGAAATCACTCTGGTCATGTGTTGACAGCAATTCTTATAATAGAGAAAAATCTAAAAATCTTAGGCATGTGCAGAAAATTGTGTCCATGACCATGTTTAGAAAGTACTGATGTCATAGGTATGAGTTTTTTTCATCTCTTTCTTTCCTCTTTTTTTCCCCCAGAAATAAGACCAAGATTAGTAGACCCTTAGTAAAAGACCCTAAGATTAAAGTTCTTATCCTACTTGATGGAGGGAAAAAATAGAGTTTGGCTTTAGATAGGAACTGGTCCTGCCTTTATTCACAGGCTCTTGAGAAAGAGGCAGGCCCAGTGAACCCTAAAGGGTCAGCTGACTATAACCTGCTTTGGTTTCCTTTCCAGGTTTCTCCCCGCTGTGGGATGGGTTGGATGATGTAACTGGCTCTCCAGGACGCCCCACTTGGCTGTGACTTCAGGAAGGCCTTTCAACCCAGTCTCATTTCAGAGCCACTTCTAGAAGCTCCTTGAGAAAAATGATGTGACAGATCCTATCAGAAAGGATATTCGGAGCTTAACATCAGCGAAGAAAGTGGCCCTTTTCCCTTTTGCAAAGTAGACCTTCTCCAACTCCAAAATGCCCGCCAAGACCCCAATTTACCTGAAAGCTGCCAATAACAAGAAAGGAAAGAAATTTAAACTGAGGGACATCTTGTCCCCCGACATGATTAGTCCTCCTCTGGGAGACTTTCGCCACACCATTCACATCGGCAAAGAGGGCCAGCACGACGTCTTTGGAGATATTTCTTTCCTCCAGGGGAACTACGAGCTTTTGCCTGGAAACCAGGAGAAGGCCCGCATGGGCCAGCTGCCCGGGCATGGCGAGTTCTTCCGGGCCAACAGCACGTCCGACTCCATGTTCACAGAAACGCCCTCCCCGGTGCTCAAAAACGCCATCTCCCTCCCGACCATCGGAGGCTCCCAGGCGCTCATGCTGCCCTTACTGTCACCGGTGACGTTTAATTCCAAGCAGGAGTCCTTCGGGCCGGCCAAGCTGCCCCGGCTTAGCTGTGAGCCCGTCGTGGAGGAGAAGGCCCCGGAGAAGAGCAGTCTGTTGGAGAACGGGACAGGCCACCAGGGAGACGTGTCGTGGGGCTCCAGTGGGTCCGCATCGCAGTCCAGCCAGGGCAGGGACAGCCACTCCTCCAGCCTCTCCGAACAGTACCCCGACTGGCCGGCCGAGGACATGTATGACCAGCCTGCCCCGTGCGAGCTCGTCAAAGACAAGACTAAATCAGAGGAGTCCCTCTCCGATCTCACGGGGTCCCTCCTCTCCCTTCAGCTCGATCTGGGGCCCTCGTTTTTGGATGAGGTGCTGAATGTCATGGATAAAAATAAGTAACAGACACCACCAGCTCTTGTCCTCGGGGGTAAAAGGTATCATCAAAAAATAAGAACTAAACCAACCACAGTCGGAGAGAAGAGCTTCACTGGCTATGTTTGCCACTGTGTGATAGGTTTTCTAAAATAATGTTCCTACAAAGTATTTTTTGTACCTGTTATGCCCTGTTTGCAAAAACAAAACAATAACAACAAAAACTGTCCTGGCGAAAAGGAAGTGAGTCAGTCAGAACCCATTTTTTTTCGGTGGGTATTGCTGACGTTCAGCTCACGTTTTTTTGCTTCCAGACACATTAAGAAATCTGGCCCGGCCAAGATTGGCACTAGCTCGAAGGGCTGCACAAGTCACATTAAAGAACTTCACAGTACTCTAGCGTTTCCTGGGCAAGAAGAAGTCAAAGTTTATTTAACACCTAAGCCTTTTTTCTAGACTCTTTTCTATATTACATCATTTGGGCTCGCCATAGCAAATTCTTCAGTGTTAAAACTATTCTCTGTTTTCACATTTGAACAACTTTATGGGTTTGGGGGATTTTCTTGTAGCTCTTATATATCCCTATATATTATATCTATATCGCGAAATTTTGACTGTCCGCTACATGTTGGTAAGACACAAGCAAAGTATTACTGTAACTAAGTTATTTTTAAAGTTAAAATATATTTTTATGTGCCTTTGGCTTTTTATTGCAGAGTCTACATTTTATAGATATCACATCAAATGTTGTCATTTGACTTGTTTCCATTTGGGGTCCCATTGTAAGCTGCGTATGTATATGTTTGGAAAAGTGTATTCATATTTAGCTTTATCTCTTTTTCTTCATCTGTTAATCATACTTTTCACAGCAACCAACAATGGATTGTAAAGTATAAAGGCACAGGTTACTCAAGATGCTTCTGCAGAGACTGTGGGCTACACCATATAATGTTATTTGGAAATATAGGTATTTTAGTACAGTACATACTTGCATTACATAGGTACTTCATGCAACACAATAAAGAGTAAATGTTAAAATGAAGTTGCTTGTTTATAGTAATAAATAAAAACATAAGAGCATAATAATATTTTCCTTAAGTCCAGGACCAGAAAAATTGCTTCTCTGAAGTATATGTGAGCCTTTAAAATAAGGTATGAGGTGATTTCCATCCACTCTGCAATTTTGATTATTTCCCAAAGCTTTGAGATTCCAGTAACAGCACCCCTCAATTTTAGGAGAAATGAGCGAGATCAGAATTTTTTTAAATATTTTGGGGACAGTGTAAGTCGGGGAGGAGCAGAGTGGGACAGAGGATCCAAGGCAGGCTCTGCACTGACAGGCTGACAGCAGCAGGTCTCACGGGGGGCTCGAACTCACAAACCTCGAGATCATGACCTGAGCTGAAGTCAGACGCTCAACCCACGGAGCCACCCAGGGGCCCCTCAGAACTTTTTAGGTCAATCGATGCCAGCTTCTCAAAATTCATTTCTGTGCATCTCTTACTTTAACACACTATGGCAAACTCTTGTAACCCCAATCCCATCCTTGTTGGACAGATGTTTCCTTGCTGCAGGTGCCATATAAACAAGATTAAGGAGGCTAAAAAGAGGGCAGTAGAGAACACTCCTCTCTCTCCCCCCACCCCCACACCAAGGAGGAGAGATGCCTGAGGATGTCAGTTAAGGAACGGGAACAGGAAATGTACACAGCGATTCCTGCCCTGCTGTCAGCACCCTCCTCCCCCTTCAAAGTCAAACACTTGCACATCATAACTTTCATTTCTCCTTGAACTGTATCCTGAAATGACTTCCTCTCTCAGACATTTCAATGATTGTCCCACCTGGTTTGGAGCTGTTGCAATTCTATCATCCGATCTTCTAAAATAACCTCTGAACTTCAGGTGAAACATGGGACAACTAACTACATAGAAGAGGAAACCAGTTTCCTTGGAGCACCGAGTCCCTGCCTTAATTTCCCAGCTGTATTTCTATCCCACGATTGTCCGGTGTTCTTCTTCGGTTCAACCAGACCCTTTTAACGCTTTCCCTGTCTTAATTATTGGTCACATTTATTCTCATGTTACTCTTCATCTGCAGCATGACCTCAAGGAAAAGGTTAAACTACTAGATAAAATGATAATGTTTGTGCATTCCCTCTGCTACAGTATTGTTTGCGAGAATCTAAGCAATGATGTGTCCTTGCAGGCATTTAACTATTATACTTTCTCTGGGTCTTTTCCCATACAGTCTCCCAGTAGATGAGGTATAATTGAGAGGGTACAAATATGCCTCTATGGGAGAAGAAACAGCTACATCTGCCTTATGGTTTGGTTAAGGCATTTCTCCCTTGGCAGCCCTTCTGATACCTGGTTCCTTCTCCAGGGAGCAGGTACAGAGCTGCTGGTGGCTTTTCTGCAAAAAGGCACTTTCCACTTGCTGAGAGCCAAATTGATGCTCTCGGTCTATGAACATTCTCCCGCTTTTAACCTTATTTATCAAGATGCACTTTATTTGCAGACTCAGAATGGCGAGCAACCTGTGACCCAACAACCAGGAAAGAGACCATGTAGCTTGTCTAAGTTGAGACCCTTCGTGTGTAGGCAAGGTTCTCATAGGTAATCTTTTCCCTGGGCGATGAGACCTAACAAAGGACATGGATATATTACTTCTGCCTCAAATTATTTGCTTAAAAAAAAATGGAAACATCAGGGTACTTAGCTCTTTGCAAATATAAACAGACAAAAGGAAAAGTACACATTACATGAGGGCTATTCCCCTCCTAGTGTGAAGCCTGGTGAGACTGAATCATTTTACTGTGAAACCTAAAACAAGTCAACATGATGGTTTCTCTCCAATAAGAATTTCTCCTTTGGAAATCGTTACCAACCTAGTCCCTGATTTAGCAATTCTAATAAATAAAATCTTCAGACTTTAGAATTCGCTTACCAGACTAATATGAATGACTGACTAAAGTTTTTTTGGACAAGTCAATAAGCCATATATATAACTAGGTTATTGGCTGCAACCCTGTGTCTCCACCCATACTTTTGGGCTAGATCCAGCAAGATAAAAGAAATTTCCAGATGCTAAATGATAAACTAGGATTGAGTCAGATGGGTAACCTTCTGGTTTACTTAGCTGTATGGTACACTTGGGAATGTCACAATACTCAAAACTATGTTCACACATTAACTTATGTGTGGTTAAGCAATACAATTATTTTCTTTTTTTTTTTTCAAAAAAATTTTTAATGTTTTTATTTATTTTTGAGACAGAGACAGAGCATGAGCAGAGGAGGGGCAGAAAGAGAGGGAGACACAGAATCGGAAGCAGGCTCCAGGCTCCGAGCTGTCAGCACAGAGCCTGACGCGGGGCTCCAACTCACAGACTGTGAGATCATGACCTGAGCTGAAGTTGGACGCTCAACCGACTGAGCCACCCAGGCGCCCCTACAATACAATTATTTTCTAAAGAAGAAGATGATCTCCCTTCTTGCTTGATTGATCGACATGTTGCTTTCATCTGATGATATCTGGAAAGTTGCATGCTTCATTGGGATAACACACCATTTCATCCAGCCAGTCTTCCATCTGAGAATGTTTAATTCTTAACCTTATTCTTAGAGCAGGTGATTATTCAGAAGTAGGCTTAACCATTTCTTACTTGAGTTGCCAGGGAGTCATCATTCTGTGGTAAAATGCTGCAAAGAAAGTCATGTGGAAGAACCCTGCTTGTTCTGTGAAGAGATGTATAGCACAATGAAGTCTATTTTACTACAGTAGTCCTCCTTATCTGTGGTTTTGCTTTCCAAAGTTTTAGTTACCCATGGCCATTGGGTCTGGAAGCAGATTATCCTCCTAATGACCAATCACCAGAAGGTCAATAGTAGCCTAATGCTGTGTCACAATGTCTACTCACTTTACTTCATCTTACTATGCAGGCATTTCATCAACTCTCACAGGAAGGGGGAGTACAGTACAATAAGCTATTTTGAGAAACCATTTACATAATTTATTACAGTATATTATTATAATGGTTCTATTTTATTATTGTTAATCTTGCTGTGTCTAATTTAGAAACAAAACTTTAAGGACGTACGGGAAAACAGTATATATAGTGTTTGGTACTATCTGTGGTTTTAGGCATCCACTGGGGGGACCGAAACATATCTCCTGTAGATAAGAAGGGACTATTGTACCATGCTGCCTTTAATTGTCTTTCATTTTTACTTAAAAAAAAAAAAATATCTGATAGTGAATTCACTTCTATTGGCTTCCACGGGAGGTCAATAATCTTTGTCCTTTGAAGGTCAGCCAAATTTCCCTCATGGAAAGCAGATTGACATTAGTGATAGATACATAAAAACATCTGCCCAAATCAAAGCCACTTTGCCAAATACATTTAATATTCCAGAGTGTTCGTGTGCAGACAGAGATGCCTGCCATATATCAAAGTCAAGAAGGCTGAATAGGTGAAGTGGGTATTATGCTTACCATAAAACAATTATCGGAGTAAGTCATAAGACATATGTGTGATTCATTGCCAAAAGATGGTTGGGAAAAATGAGCTCTGAGTTCTGGGGAGGGAAAGATGTGGATGGCTTTATGGGAGAGGAGGAGAACCCAAATAGATTTTTTTCAGGAGAGGGGGAATTCTCAGGAGGAAGATCATAAGCAAACAAAAGGATGCACTATAAGCTATAAGGGTTTCTCCTCAAAACAGTCCAGGAACAGGGATTGAACTAGAAAATGCTCAGTTCCAGGCCTGAAAGATTTGGGCCCATGCCTGAGAAGGTTCTCCCAGGGGAGTAAGAAGACTTCGGAATCTGGGTTGCTGAACAGGTGGCTCCCAGGGTTAGAAATGTATATACAATAAGCCACCATCTTGAGAAAGCTCATGTCCAGTTAACGGTGCCTGTGCTATAACCTGAAAGCCAGACTGGGGACACTTCAACTGTGGGACCATTGGGTGTTCAGGGAAAGTCATTTATGCTGATGGAAGAAGCAAGAGGGGCTAAGTATCTCCTG